GCTTCAAAATCCCAGTGCTGTCGTCATCGTGTAAAGCCCGCCCCAACGTTTCTGATTGGTGCCTCGATTTCGACGGATTGGAAATGGGCTTGAATGAGCTCTTTGCCAGACTAACTTTCAGAGCAAATCTAAATTTGCCGGAAGTTGTCTGGGTTTTCCCAAGCTAGTACTTTTCAAGAATTTCTAAAAAATCAAAGGCGGCAGATGAAGTAAGATAAATTATGTTTTGAAATTAATTGAACACCAAAAGATAATAGAAAATATTGTTTAGTCTAAATAAACATGGAAAAATGACCTCAATATGTTTGTGTACAATGCATTTTTATGCTTATTAGAATTTTTTTTTTTTTTTTTTTTACAGTTTTGGTCAAGGTTAATTTCAAGTTGTAGCAAGACATGATTTGAAACAGAGCCATTTTGAATAGATGCATATAAAGGACCTCAGGATCAAATGTTGTGTTTGTTTAGATTAAAATGATACAGCCAACTTTAGAACCCCAAATTGAAGTCTGTATGTTGTACCTTGGGTGTGGATATTAAATGTTCTGAGGCCTGAGTGTCCTGATTTTTTAACATACTTCTAAAATGGAAGCTACCTAAATTATTCTCCCTGGAATGAGGTTGCAACCCTAACCATATTGTCTCGTAAAAATGTCACGTTTGTCATGTTCAAAGACGGAGCACTGAATTGGTTTGACACCAGTTCCACAGGAGACATGAAAGATAAGACAATACTTGCAAAAGACTAGGGAAATTAAAGTTGTACCTGTCCTTTAAATAGCATATGGTAAGCAGATTATGCAAATGATGGGATGGCTTTGTGGTTTGGTTTAAGCAGTTGATTTGCTCCTCTTTGACAGGACCACCGCCATTGATTGCCATGCTTCATTGGCCAACCTTGTTCTGGTGGTGTTTCATTACTGATCAGATAAATAATGAATGACCAACCCTTAGAATTGTGTCCGAGACAGCAGCTATTCTCTCAAACTGCTCAAGCAAGACAATGCCTGCTGTCTAAAAACAATACTTCTCCTGGGCCTGGATCAAATATAATTTCCCTTTCAAAAAGGTTAGCGTCATGAGTTCCTATTAAGATTCAAATGAGCTCCAAATATAATAAATAAATAAATACAATGAACCACACACTTTTATTTAGCAATTTGCAGTTAGTTGCAAACTAGCTCGGTCTAGATTTGCTCCACTGGGCAGCTGGTAAAAAAAAAGATGCTTGTGTTGCTGTAGGGTTGCAAGCCATTGGAATTCAGCATCGCAGGACAACAGTACATGGGTCCATACAAAAAAAAAAAAAAAAAAAAATTTGTTTGCCTCAAAACAAAAGACAAGATTTTTATGTCAAGATCAGATAGTGGAAATGAGAAGCACACAATATATTTCCGCTGTTATGGATATATGAAGTGCTCAGCTACAAACAGGTTCACTAGAGTCATACAAAATAGCCTTGAGGGTTGTTTTATTTGCTTTAATTTATTTGAACATTTCACGGTACATACACCTCATATGTCATCAAACATTCACAGATGCACTGCTGTGATGGATTCAAGTCAAGTCATCTTTATTTATATTGCGCTTTTTACAATACAGATTGTATCAAAGCATATTCACAGTGATAACATGAAAATAATACAACAAAGTTTGTTTCTAGAAGAAAATTGGATCATCGTCCACCTTAAGAAAGGCAGACCAATAATATTGTTGAATATTAAATGTCCGCAAGCCAAAAGCCAAGGCAACAGTGGCAAGTCTTTGCATTCTGGTCTAATGTTCAGTACTGGCAACTTTGCATATCTAATCATGCATATGTGTGCAAAAAGTGCCATGAAATGGAATGCAGTGGGGTAGATACAGTATATATGGATATCTTCATTTCTCACTGGTTACTGGGGCTTGCATTTGTCAGCTACAAAATTCAGAATTTTACTTTACTTTAACATCTCAATTGTTTATCTTAGTCTTAGACATCCTGGATAAGTATACCTTAAGATCTGTCCTATTGATTATTCCAACAAGTCATCAGTAACCTCATAATTCATTTGAACAAAAGTGCATCTTCCATAATAAATAATTAAGGTGGACGTATGAGAGAAAATCCCAAAGGAGATCTTTGTAATATCTTAATTTGCAGAGGTTTTCTGCTTTTTTAGATTTTTTTTTTCTTCTATGGCATCACTGTGAAAACCCCTTGTAAAACTTTTTTTTATATGTATCCGAAATCACACACTATATACTATATAGTAGGCGAAAAACAGTATCTGACAAAGTAAGTATTTTCAAATTCACAGTACTCATAAAAGACTAGGCAAAAAGTTCCCAGATAACCTACAGTACTACTTTTGACGAGATTCTGAAGTGTGCATACGGACACTTTACTATTCCATGAGGCCACGGGAGAGGATTTGTGGATGGCAGTGAACGACGTAACTGACGCTGGAAGCTCATATGATAATGATGAAAGAATGGCAAAGTATGTCCAGATTACATTCATATTACACACATCCATACTATATAGAACATACCTTTTTAGCGGCCGTGAAGCAATTACTTATTCAAAATAAATACCAACTCAAGAGAGTATGCGACTTTGGACGCAGCCAATCAGAGCATGGCATTGTTGAGATTTCTTCTAAAACTAGTGGATGTGAGATTATAGGGTCTATTTCTCAGTTTAAAAAAAGTCTTAAGCAAAGATCTCCAATTGTACATATAATCCCTTCACTATTTAAGAGTAACAATTGAGAGATCAAAACGATCTCATTCGTGACTTTTCTTATGTGATGGCCTCTTTGGGTAACCGTGTGAGAGAAAGACAGGGGAATTTGCTGTATCAGGACAGATGTTCCCATTCCCCTCCAAGGATGCGTGGAGCGGGTTTGACGGGCAGGGTGGGTGGAGACCTGAGGGATGAGGACTCACGGGTCGAGCTATATGTGCGTATGTGTGTATATAGATAGATAGTTAAGTAGATGGATATTAGTCTCTGCTTAAATGCATGAGAGCACAATATGTAGGCTTCACTGGCTCTTAATGGACCACAAATTCTCTCCTTGCTGTCAACCACACACTGCTTGCTAAAAATAGGAATGGGACAGTTTTTTTTTTTACTTCTTTGTCCTGTCATCTAGCATGACATGCAAGCATTCATTTTCTCCGCAGTTTTTGTAATCTTTTAATCTAATTTTATTTATGCCCCCGCCCCCTTCCACTGCCTGTCTACCTGCGTCCTCAAGAGAGACGACGAAAACCATCTTTGTTGTCTTCACACGCTGTGTTTGCTCAGAGCTGTCAGCGCACGCAGCCTGTTGGTGTCATGTGGCATGCCGGACCATTCAATGTTTGATTTTATGTCAATACAATTGGGAAGTCTTTCATTCCTCTAAGATTCACTGGGACTCTGGGGTGTTTTATGTTTTAGTTAATTTGCATAGAACTGTGTTATGTTAAATGACATAATAACAAAGAATAGCGTGTGGTTATTTTCCTTCAGTGGACATGTATGAGGAAGAGGTTGCTATTTCAAAGCTCCGGGGATTTATTTTTCATTTAAATATCAACTTTGTCCTAGATGTCTCTCATAAAGTTCCTTATAAAAGATAAAAGAAAAATAAACAAATTAAACGATTGTTGACATGTACTACTGTATAAAGAATTTACTCTGTAAAAAAAGATATGATCAAAATCAAAATAAGTTAAGTAAGATTTAACTAATTTTTCAAAGTTCAATGTATTTTAATTATAAATGACTTAAACATACAAGGTGATTGTACTCAAATTTAAGGCAGCAAGTTTTTTTTTTTTTTTTTTTACAGTGTAGAGCTATACAATTAATTGGAAAGCACATCAGATCATTTGGTCTGGGATGAATTTTATGATAAATGTTTTAGTTCATATAGGGATCTCTTACTTTTGATTTTCGACCTGAATATATCGTTGAAACATTGGAGATGCTCTTCATCAGTCCTGGAATCCTTTAAAAATAGAAAATAGACACAAATTAGTCATAGGAATCATATTTATTTAATGATTCTTCTACTGATTCCTCTTGACAAGTCTGATTTCTTCGGATGAGAAAATTTATTTTCATGAAAAGTTCCATTTTAGTAATTTTCTGGAATAAATTTCGGAAAATAACTATTATTATTATTATTATTCAAATCATGAGATAAGAACTCATTATGAAGAGTCATTCACTGAGGAGTCCAGAATATAGATCTACAACATTAATGTGGAAAAACCTGTTTTTGTGAGAATGTTCATATGGTCAATGTTTATGGACAGCCTACTTCTGTTTCATTCAAATTAATTCTGAGGTATAATTTTTGGCAGTATAGGACACATCTTAAAGCACACCCATCCAGATGTTAGAGGCAACAGGGTCAGGAAAACCAAGGGTGCCTGCTGCTGAGGACTGATGCAAATTAAAAATCATTCAGTTTGTCATGGTAAAATATAGGCTATGCATGCATACTAATTATTTCCCTTTGTTGTGAAAAAAAAGGTGAAATCATTTGTTCAGTTTTTTAATTTACAAATTATGTGGCATATAAGCACAAGTCGGTTTCTTGATTAGAATTTAATTATCCCAATAATTTTATATACTTAATTATTTCCCTAATGTGATATAATCACCACTATTATCGTCATCATCATCATCATCAATGACGCAACCAAATTATTCATTTAGGACTATTACAGTGTTAGTTATAAAGAGTTCTGGTGTTCCACTCACTGCTTGTATGCAATAATACAATGCAAAATGTTAGCAACACTTTTAATAGCTTTAATAATTTAGTAGTTTGTGAATATCTGTTTTTATGCACAGATTAGATTCCCCGAATCATATCCTGATTAGTTTATTAGATTCCACACTGTGAACTCCTTGCAATAATTCCTATAATTCAGTGTTCTGCACATGGCTATTTTATGAGTTTGCTAACTGCAGTCAGTAATTACCTTTCCTTCTCTCTCCTGTGTTTTCTTTTTAGATACACTGAAGAAGAACAAAATGCTGGCCAGGATTGTTTTCGTTTGCTCCTTCTTTGCTGGTGCTAGTTTTGGAGATAATGAGTCCAAGGTGTTGTACGATGGAGCTTGCAAATCTTTGTGCACCTGTGAAGAGACAGATGGACAGTTGTACATAAACTGTGAGGAGAGCAACATAAGCAAAATGTCAGATGTTGAAGTACCGCCAGATAAACCTTTTCATCTAAATCTATACAAAAATGACTTAGTGGAGTTATTTGCAACGGATATGAATGCTTTCAAGAACGTCGTCACCTTACATCTCGGTGAAAACAGCATACAGGAGCTTGAACCTGGTGTGTTCAGTGCGCTGGGATCCCTGAGAAAGTTGCACATAAACAGAAATTACCTGGTCATGCTGAAGGAGGACACATTTCACGGCTTAGTAAATTTGGAATACCTTCAGGCGGACACCAACTTCATCCGGGTCGTGGAGCCTGGGGCCTTCAGCAAGCTTGTCCGTCTTAAAGTTCTGATCCTCAATGACAATGAGATCGAGTTCCTTCCGAGCAACATTTTCCGCTTTGTGCCTCTGACACATTTGGATCTGCGTGGAAACAAGCTGCAGACACTGCCGTATGTGGGTTTCCTGGAGCATATTGGTCGTATCATTGAGCTCCAGTTGGAGGAGAATGACTGGTTGTGTAACTGCGAAATCTTACATTTAAAGGTCTGGATTGAGAACATGCGAGCGCAGTCATCCATTGGCGAGGTGGTTTGCAACAGGCCTGAAAATCTTAGGGGCAACTCTTTGGCTAGGGTCAAAAGGGATTCACTTTGCTCCTCTCATGCTGACATCAACCTCGAAGAGCCATCTAAGTCTCTAGACATGGTTGTCACCCCATCCACTAAGGTTGTTCAGATACCGAATGCAAAAGATGATGCAAAGATACCTACACCTGCAAACGGCCTAGGTCCTTGTGTCATTGTGGGTTTTTTAATGCACTGTGAGGACCGAGGCATTCAAAGGATATCTGATCTAGGCATTCTTGAACAAAGCCCAACCATGCTGGTTTTGACAGGAAATATGATACAAAGACTTTTCAAATATGATTTTGTGACATACGACAGTTTGGAATTGCTCAATTTGGCAAACAACCAAATAGACTACATTGACAATGAAACCTTTCTGAGTTTGAGCAACCTGAGAAAGCTGCACCTGAATGGAAACAGGATAGAGAAAATATCGGCAACAATGTTTCTTGGCCTTCACAACCTGGAAAACTTGTACTTGGAGTATAATATGATCAAAGAGATTGAGGCTGGATCGTTCAACCCTTTGACAAATCTAAAGCTCCTGTACCTAAACAACAACAGACTCAAAACTCTCCCTGCACAAATATTTCGTAATGTGCCCTTGGTGAAATTAAACCTAAGGAAAAATGTCTTTACGCACTTACCAGTGAGTAATGCATTGGACCAGCTTAAATATTTGGAGCAGATTTACCTTGAGGACAATCCTTGGGACTGCACTTGTGATTTGGTCAGCCTCAAACAGTGGGTGGAAAAGCTTAGCAAGGAAACCGTGGTGGGTGCCATCTTATGCCACACTCCTAAAAAACTGTCTACTGCTGAGGTCAGAAACCTGAAGCACGATGTTCTCTGCCCCGGCTTGGTAACCTATAAGTCCTTACTTGGAGGCACCGAGGACGTTATCCCAGTCACGACTGCGCCGGAGGGCGGCACCAGCGGCTTCTTCCGGTCCATTACAGATGCAGTGCCACTATCGGTACTCATCCTCTGCCTTCTCATCCTCTTCCTGACCGTCATTTTCTGCGCTGCCGGGATTGTCGTGTTTGTGCTACACCGTCAGCGGAGACATGCCAAAAAGAAACAGGCCGAGGAGCAACCTCGCGAGAGCAGTCCCATCCACCTGCACTACAGCATGTATGGCCAGAAAACCACCCACCACGTAACTGAAAGGCAAGGACCCAGCATGTACGACGAACCTTCCCATAGCCCCATCATTCAGGTCTGCAGGAACCCCAGTTACTGCTCTCAGCACAAAGACTACGAGTTAGACGACTACGATAGTGATAAACCTAAGCGCATCTGCCATAGCATCCTTGACAAGGACAATGAATCCCTCCCTAACGTGAAGTTCAGGGCCGTCACCGACTACCCCACTGAGTTTGTAAGTTTGGGAGACGCGAGCTCCTTGTACAAGAACATCTTAGAAAGAGAACGGGAGCTCCAACAGCTCAGCCTCACCGAATACCTCAGGAAAAACATATCACAGCTCCAACCAGCTGTGGACATGCAAGTCCCCAACCACCACAAAGAGCTGAAACTAATGGAAACTCTCGTTTATACAAGGCCGAGGAAGGTCATGGTGGAACAGACTAAAAATGAGTACTTTGAGCTCAAAGCCAATTTACATGCTGAACCAGACTATTTAGAAGTCTTAGAGCATCAAACGACTTTCAACTGAGATAAGTACACTGTATATTTTGATTTGACAAATGATACTCCAAGTGCCTTGACAGTCCATTCTGATTTCTGATTTAGCCCCAGAGATATAATACAGCAACATCAGAGTAGAGGCAATTCTCATGATACAATCATTTGACGCTGACACAAGGTCTAATTTCAGGTGGACCTTTAGCTCTAGCATGCTATTGGACATTGCAGATGATGGATTCTACATTCTAACAAAATTCCGATCACACAGAAAGAGTCACAGAGTTGGACAAGATTGGCTTTGATACCAGAACTTTTCTTTTGCATTGTGGTTAATGCATTCTCTTTATGTTTGCTAGATGGTAGGGGAGACTAGCATAGAGTCACTTTACATTTCTATCTGTGTATCTCTTATTATGTACGTGGCAAATCTTTAAGCTCTGTTTATCTGTAGCAATGGAAGAAAACATGTTTTCTTTCTTTTTTTTCTGTCAGACAGAACATTTCTGGTTAGTTAAAACATTCCCTGATTTGCTAAGCTTTGAATTAAACATGCCCAACACAGTTTTTGTTCATTAAATATTAAATAATGGTGGTACTTAGATCTCAAGATGTCTGAGAATTGTATTTATTAATAAGTAAGGCGTCATCAACAGCAAGTAGATTGCCAAGTTGCTATTGTTTTGACCCCGAGGTCAGTCTTTATGACTGGGCTCATTTATCATGCCTGAAATTGGCGTCTCACCTGAAATTATCAACACGCCTGGAGAGTTATGTCATACAGACCCACTTGCTCAGGCCTCCACTGCTTCTGATATGGACAAAAACTCTGCTGGGCATCGATGGAGAAAATGAAAAGAAAATAATTGCACTACTCAAAATGCTATTTAAAGGTGGTTGATGACAATCACGTTGTGGGGCCGCACAGTCTATGCCATTTTTTCCCATAGGAAAACTGAGTAGTGTAGCTTCTGGTTTGTAAAATAATGTTGTTTAAAGTTCCTTTCGACACAAATCATATTTTAGTTTTTTTCTTTCAGCATGACAATTATGCAGGTTGTTTTATCTTCATTATGTGGCTGGAGAAGAAAAGAAAAAAATATATATATCCATATATGTATAGAGAAAATATGCACACAAGTTATTGTGTTGAGCCTTTAAATGTTTTACTGTATAGAAGAGCACCATAGCTTTATTTTGTACAAGTGTGGATGAGAGTTATTTATTCTGTATATTTGTACATAATTTAACATTTATATGTCTGTGTGCCTTTAATGTGGTACCAATTAAGCTGTACATAAAAAAATAAATAAATTGAGAACATTGCAATATGTATGGTCAGTAACACGAATAGCATGGCACAAGTAAATAAGGAAATTAAATAAGGAAAAAAAAACAATGGGTAAAATAGAATGTTTCTCAATGGGTTGATGACAATGTAAAAAAGGGTTGATAGCATCTCAGACAGTAGGGGGGCTTGTTTTTTAATACAATTAAATAAGCATTCAGTTGTGCAAAGTTAGGAGAAAAAAAAATATATATATATATTTCAGCTTTTAAAAGAGATTTCCAAATAAAATCTACAGTATTTTGGTGCAATGCATCTGTCATTGGTAGAAGCTAGAAAAATTAGAGAAATGACTACATGGAGAGATGGCTTGACATGTCCTCATACTTAAACCAAGAGCAAATTTATTCAAAGTAAAAGAAAATATGATCAAGACCACATAAAATATGGGTTACACTGAAGCAAATCAAGTTGTGAACTACTGATCAATGATTTATACTTTTTCTGGTTTGTGAACTAACAGTAATAAAGTCAGAATTTTATGAGAATAAACATATGTTTTGAAGTTGTGGAAATACGACATTTCAAAAATAGCATCAAGATTATGTCATGCCTAATAACAGTGAAGTAGTTAATCACATCCAAACATCCTACAAAAGTCGCCGATGTCAACACAGAGTTGGTGAACTTGACAGTTTGCCATTGCGAAACAGGATTCTGTCAGACCCTCGTTTCTCAAAAGAGCCTTTCATGAGTGTGCAAGCAGCGTGCAACATTCAGTTGCTCCTCAGAACATTGAAGGCTTCTTTTCATCCTCTCCACACTTTCATCTCCCTCTTCTCCTCGCTTAAGTGGCTTTCCAATATTTTCCATTAACCATCAAATAGAATCATTCACGCCAACATGAGTAATTTCCGCACTCCTTTGAGTAAAGGGAGTCACCTGGGCAGGAAAGACTAAGAGCAAAATGGATGGTTGAAGAAGGGTGGCCAATGGTTTTTGACAAGTCGGTTGTTGAAACTTCCAGTAAAGTGCAAAACAGTGTTCACTTTCAGGACTGCATGGTTTTCTTTATTTTCAAGTATGTCAATTATTGTGGTGTGAATATTTTAGCAAGGAAACAAAGCCAGCGGCTCCTTCACATTGCTGGAAATGAGCATTGCATACTACCACTTACACTTGATAGATTTTATTGCAGGTTTTTTCTTTGCATGACACTGAGAGCTTGGTATCTACCATCTATTCTTTATTATGCCCTCTAAATACCAGTTCTCTTACGAGAGGTTCTCTCGTATTGCGTAAGTTTAGCTTACGCTACGGGGAAAGATTCATCTTCTCGAGATATTGAAGCCAAAAAATTATCCTAATTTTGTATTCATTGTCAACGCAGTGCAGCAGCTAGCAGACCTAGAGCAGGCAGTCTAGCGTGCTCATTGGCTGCCCTGCAGGCAACTGCTGCAGCCTACCAGTGAGCCCGGCGTGACGTCACGCCCAATGAAGGGCGCTCGCGCCTTCATAGCGTCACAGCCCGCCAGAATGGGCGTGGCTTAGCGTATAAAAGAAGGGGCTCGTAGGCTGAATTCCCTGATTTTTCGATTCTTCAACGAGCTCTTCGCATCGCTGGATTGAGGGAAGCCACCGTCGCCGTCGAGACAGCGAACAGCCAGCCAGGACAGCGCTGAGGAAGCCGGCCGTCTTCGCCACCTTCAGCCATCCGTGCGAGCTACGCTATCCGGCGACGTATCCTTTTTACATTGTTGTTGTATTCTCTTTTCTCTTACTCCTAAAAGAGCAGCGAGCGTCTTTTTCAAGATGCCTCGCACTTCCTGTGGACAGCCGGAACCTGTGGCCACAGCGACGCGCTCGCCGGAGAACCTCCCTCGAGCCTCGCTCTCGCCTTCCCCGCCTCTCTTCACCGACGCGCAGCTGCCGCTCACGAGCCTCACTGCCGTCGCGTCTGAGGATGAGGTTGAGGGACACGCCACAAGGGACTGCTGTTCTAACCGCGGCTAGCTTCCTTTACGTTACAAGGAAGCTACCGCGCCCCCGCAGAAGCAGTCACTCCGCCCTTTGTGGGACCGCGCAGTGATAAGCGCCGTTCCCAAAGGCAGCCGGAGCCTGTAGCCACAGCGACGCGCTCGCCGGAAAGCCTCCCTCGAGCCTCGCTTTTTCACCTTCCCCGCCTCCCTTCACCGACGCGCAGCTGCCGCTCACGAGCCTCACTGCCGTCGCGTCCGAGGATGAGGTCGAGGGACACGCCACAATGGACTGCTGTTCTAACCGCGGCTAGCTTCCTTTACGTTACAAGGAAGCTGCCGCGCGCGCTCTTTGTTATCTGCTCGCGCTACTTAAGCGTACGTTGTTTCCCCCGTGGCTCAGTGGCTAAACTCTAAGCTTTCGCGCCAGAGACCCGTGTTCGATCCCGGCTCTCGCAGCAGATACAATTTATGCAGCTCTCCTCTCTGAGCTCGCGACCAGCTTTCTTACATACAGAAAGCGAGCGCGCGCCCCGAGCGACACGCACACGAAAACTGTGATGACGCTCTCTCTCTTATCTGCTCGCGCCAACTAAAGCTTACGTTGTTTCCCCCGTGGCTCAGTGGCTAAACTCTAAGCTTTCGCGCCAGAGACCCGTGTTCGATCCAGGCTCTCGCAGCAGATAAAATTTATGCAGCTCGCGCGACCAGCTTTCTTACGTACAGAAAGCGAGCGCGCGCCCCGAGCGCATGCGTCACCGGCGAAAGAAGGAAAGAGTGGTTTTTTGTCCCGCCGAGGCTTGACAAACCCCCTCTTTTTCTCAAACATTTTCCAGCTCCTCCTAGTTCGAGCGGCTGGTAATGTCTATACTGCAGTAGAGAGCCTGTTATAACACGCACGCCTGCAGACAATGCCGACACGCACACGAAAACTGTGATGACGCTCTCTCTCTTATCTGCTCGCGCCAACTAAAGCTTACGTTGTTTCCCCATGTGGCTCAGTGGCTAAACCTTAAGCTTTCGCGCCAGAGACCCATGTTCGATCCTGGCTCCCGCAGCAGATAAAATTTATGCGCAAGCCGCCGTTTTCGGATCCGGCTCACGCCGATGGTGTTTTTTAGTGTAGAAAGGTGCCCACATCTCGGTGTTCACCCCTACACACAAGCACAACACTTCCCGTGTTATTCACAGAACAGAGCCCACTCCCTTAAAGCGGGAAACCGCTCGAGTGTTGAACGTAGGATATGTGTCCACGAGTTCGTGCCCACGCCTATTTTTCTGCCCGCTCTATCACTAAAGACTCATATCAAACTATGAGAGAGAAAGACGCGCGTGTCCCGCTGCGGCCGGACCGCCGTCAAAGTTTATTTCCCTGTCAGTCCCCTTCAAACAGGCTACTGCAGTGGTCCATTTAGCAGCCAACGAGCCGGTTCATTTACCCTCTCGCCTGCACACATACGCCGTCTTCACAGCGACCCAGAGAAATCTCAAAAGAGTATAGTGTCTGGTTATCCGGCTCACGCCGTTGGTGTCTTAAGTGTAGTGAAAGTGCCCACGCCCCAGTGTTCACCCCTACACACAAGCACAACACGTTCCGTGTCACTCACAGAGCACACTCTCATAAAGCGCAGAAAAGCCGCTCGAGTGTTGAGTGTAAGAAATGTGTCCACAGGTTTGTGCCCACTGTCTGCCCGCTCTGTAACACGATCAATGAAGCAGGTTATGAATGTAAGTCTCGTGCCCGCCAGAGAGCGTTCACGCTTACTAACACACACTTCTCCCCGGGCGCCGCCCGCGCGTCTAAGTGTTATCACAAGGCGCAGGGCGTTAATAAGACGCTCCCCATCCTATTCGATCGGGGCGTCAAATACACTTGTAAGTCTCGTGCCCGCGCACACGCGTTCACGCTTACAGAAAGCTTCTCCGCCCAGAGCGCTGCTCGCGCGACAAAAAGTGGAAAGAGAATGTTCCCCATCCCTTATGATTGGGACATCCCACATAAATCAGCCGGTTTCGGTTTTCAGCGAGCAGCCATTGCCCAGAACCGAGAGCGCGCGCGCCACGCTTTCGGCTCCGGTTCAGTTTTCACAAGCCCGCGAATGGCGGCGATCTGAACCTGGAGGCCATTCGCCCCCTAGCGGCTCACGTAGCTGCATGGGAAGCTGCATGGGTGCTGAGCACAATAAAGCATGGCTATACACTTCAATTCATTCGCCGTCCCCCGCGCTTCCGAGCCCGGACCGCGACGATAGTGAATGCGGAAGTAGCACACCTACTTCACGCAGAAATAGCAAAGCTGCTGTGCAAAGGGGCAATAGAAAGGGTACCGCCTTCTCTGAGCGAGTCAGGCTTTTACAGCCGATATTTTCTCGTACCCAAGAAGGACGGAGCCTTCAGGCCCATCCTCGATCTGAGACATTTGAACAAGGTGCTTGCGAAAAGACCGTTCAAAATGCTTACGACCAGAAAAATCCTCGCGCACGTTCGCCCGAGGGACTGGTTTATTTCTCTAGATCTGAAGGATGCCTATTTTTAGATTCAGATAATACCCCGTCACAGGCGATTTTTGAGATTCGCCTTCGACGGTCAGGTATATCAATACACCGTCCTGCCGTTCGGCCTGTCTCTAGCACCCCGTACATTTACGAAGTGCATGGACGCGGCGCTCGCCCCCCTGAGAAGTCAGGGGCTGCGAATAATGAACTACCTGGACGATTGGCTGATATTGGCACAGTCAGAGACAGAACTGATGTCTCACAGAACAGTGCTT